CGTCCGCTACAGCACTTTTGACGTAACTGCATAACTTTTTGACGTGGCCATACGTCACCAAGTTCCTGCACCTATAGGACTGTTCACGTCTCGAGGAATAATTGTATTATTGTCATCCCAAATTAAATGCTTTCTTTCTAAAAGTTCAATAATTGGAATTGAATTAAATAAGTCTTGATCTATTGTTGATTCTATTTCTATATATATTAATGTCGGTGAGATGCTTAAGAAATCAGTTCTATCCCTCACAATTTTATTCGAATAGAAACATGTTTATATCATCATGACGTTCTATCAGCATGATATATAAATGCAAACTTTCGTTATTTTGTAATCTAATTTCTGATAACTTATGTACAAGCATTCCAAATGTCCATTCCATCACTCATTGAAAATTATCTAGGAATCAATCCATGAGTGGAACTTTGTCTTCAATTCACTTGGTCTTTCCTTGCCCGGACAAATCTGAAGAAACTGCCAATACATTAGGACACAATTTTTGTAAATATTGTGCATTGAATCTGCATCAGTCTCTTGAATTATATGAATACACTCGGAAAATTGATAAGTATATGATGGTGCATATTTTTTCAAGACAGAAAATTATGACCAGATAAAATTTCTTTGTTTGTTAACTTAAAGAACGTATGTTTGATACCAATTGATATTGCAATTCCAACTCAAGAAACTCTACATTTGCAATGAAAAATAGATGATCCCATATTCATTCTTTGCAGCGACAAAGCATTGTTTTGTGAAAGTTAGAAGCTCTTCCTCTGTGGTAGAGGACTTACAAATTAGAACTTGCCATGATTCTGGATAACATTTATTATGTAAATTGCACAAAGACATAATAATATTAGGTACTTTAAACTTATTATTACATTTTGCAATGAAAAGATTTCCTTGACGGACTGCGTTCACTGTCTCATCATTAACAATAATTGTCATTTTTCGTTGCGTGATAGGAATTTGACTTAATATTCCATGTAATATGGTACCAATATTGCTAAGTATATTATAATAATTTTCAGGTTCAAGAGAAATTTCAAGAACATCGGAGCTAATATCTGGTAATACTGCTTTATCATGACATATCTCATTGAACATTTCTCTTGGATATTGATCGGGTAGCCGTAACATTTTTATTACATGAGAAATAATCATAAAAAATTCAAAATATGTTGTGCTAAGAAAAAAGTCAAATAATAATGCTTTTGTTGTGCTTTATTAACAATTCTTTCCCAATTTTGTAAATCATTAAGCAAAGTCTCTAACAACTCTTCCATATCTTGAGTAGTATGTGTGAATGCTTGAAAATCACGGTATTTAAAATGTCCAAGCTCTTTTAACGATGAAGCAGCATCAAATATTTTGTGTGAGAGTCTTATTATTATTATCATCTAAAGTCTTCACATTATTATCACCATCTAAAGTTTCCCCATTATTATCATCATCTAAAATCTCCTCATTATTGTCATCATCTAAAGTCTCCTCATTTTTATCATCATCTAAAGTCTTCTCATTGATGAAAGCCTTTGTGTTAGTAGGAGCTTTTGCAATCAATAAAGGACGGCCGCACAAATCTTGAAGGTTTTCAAAGGTATAGGTTTGCAATGATGTCTGATGAATTTTCAGAAGAATATGATAATGTTGCCGTATATCTATTTTCATCATCATTCATTTTCTTAAATGAATACACCCCTTTGTCACTGAATATTTAAATTTTTCTTTTGTCATTTCTCCACAATTAGAAATGCTTTTGTATATATTTTTAATGCTTGGGCATTTGCATTACATAATCGTAATTTGGAAGCAAGTTATGGATTTTTCTTTATGATGCCGCATAGAATTTGGAAGAACCCTTGCATTATCGATTGTTTACTCTTATTATCTCCCTTTTATTTCTTCAAATAAAGGCTCCGAAATCTGGTTTACTTGGATAAATGTCTGGACTGTATTTTCTTGGGTCAAGCGTTCGTCTGAATGATCAACTCCATTAATTAAAATTTTAAGATTATGTCCGACAAGTGACTTAAGAAAAATAACAAATCTATAGCAGACCACACATACTTTGTCAATGATGACATCTTTTCATTTTTATCAAGTTGATTAAAAGTTTTTTTTCTAGCTGGCAAAGTAATCTTCTAAAGTATGAATCAATTCTTCAGCCCAAAAATCTTGATCACATGAAATGATATCCAAAGCATTAATAACAGCCATAAGTTGACGTAATCTTTCCAATGTTGGTGAAATACTAACTAAAAGTTTTAGAGATCTAATTAATTATTGAATTTGTACTCATTATTAGGCTTGTTAAAGTAAGGGATCATAAATTTAATTTCTTTGTCAACGTGTTCACATTTATATTTTTCCAGAATTCATTTGCGACAGTGCATTTAATTTTTTTCATTGAACATATTCTATGCACTTGGTCTTATAATTTTCAACGGTCTCTTATTTATTGCTTGTTCAACTATTAATTCTGCCTCCAATACATTTTGAAATAAGTTGTAAATAGTTTGTGAGTTAACAAAGTCATAATAATGTTCAATAATTTCAATAGTCATGGAGTGAATTGACCAATGATCGACGTATAATTCCTTGAGTGTGGCATCAGTTAATCTTTTTGCGAAATCGTTTGGGAGGACAGAATTTTTCATAAAATTTTTGGAGACATTTCAAAGTCGAATTGTATTTACAGCATTGATTGCAATACTCTTCGATAATTTTGTCTGTAAAATCATATTCACCCGGATAATTTTTTATAGCAGAGTTAAGATAATCCTTGAGAATTCTGTTGTTATTATTCAGGAGAATTCTGTTGTTATTATCCTTGAAAATTCTGTTGTTATTAAGCATATAAAAATTTTTTTGAAGAAATCTTATTGTTATGATGCGATCTCTATTATTATATCCAGATGAATCACCGTTTCGAATGGTTCTTTAAAATATGAATGAGAACTTAGTTGTTGTTTACAACCTTTAGCTTCAAATATGGACATCCAAAATTTTGCAAATTGAAATAACGAAAGTTGAAAAGATTTTATATCAGAAAATCCATCATCTTTCACTTGTTGCAAACGGTCGAGTTAGAACATAAAATTTCTTCACAAGAACTAAATGAAATTTTGTGTTAATTTGAGATAAAAATTTGAAATTAATTTTGCATAAATTTAAATGACAATATTTCTTACTGATTTGGGATAATTAAACTCGTTGTGCTATCACAAATTTGCATTATTATTCTCAAGAGACTCTCATCAGGAACTTAAACGAGAGGTCTAGCTCTGTCCTTGACCAAAGACGTAAAATGAGTTAATATATCTTCATTAAAATCGTCAATACGTGATGTAATGGAAAATATAGAATCATTGGTAATGACATCACGATATTATGGTAAGAAACTTTGTTAAAATTTCTTGACCATGTGTCAATGTGGAATATATCAATGAAAAATAACGGAAAATGTCGTATGCGAACTTGTATGTCTACAGATATTTGTAAACAACTTGATCCATTCTTGTTCAAGCTCTTGTTCAAGCTTTTTTCAAATTTTCCTAAATTTAATCCCTAGACAATTCTTTGATTGGATTTGGATTAGGCAATTGTTTTAAGCATGCTAGCATATTCTATATGTTTCCAATTTAAGTTAGATTCCTTAAGAAGTTTACAAAGTAAGGTTATATTATCGTCATTCTAATACAGCCTTTTGTCTTGAATTAATTCCAAAGGTTTTTTTTCGTATTCCATACAGAAAATCATTATCTTCCAAGTCTTCAAAACTCTTTTGTAAATGTTTGAGACTTTCGCATCATATGACATCATAATGATCTTGTTCATCGTCTTATTTAACACATTAAAATTAGAATCCTTAAGATAATTACTACTAGGCTTCTCAGTAATTTTATGAACTGCTTGAGTTGTTTTTTGCAACCATATATTTCTATTGAATCAATAAATGATTATGATTTAGCAAATTTAGGAGCAAGTAAATATTTTAATCCATTCTAGAAAATCATGGGTAGAATTATGATTAATCAAAGCTTTAAATGCCTTCACAACCATCCGTTCTGCATTTGAAGGCAGACTAGAATAATCATTGATGTTATTAAATTCCTTTATAATGAAGAAGGTTGGAAAGTTATTTGGAAGACTGAGTCTATATGACCAACCTTTTTTTAGTTCATGTAATGGCCAAGAAAAACATTCAAAAATAATGCCTGTTCTTTTGTTCTGTTTGTTGATAAATTCTGGTTAATAAAACTGACATTTTTTTAAATCCTTCTTTGTGTGTATATAAAATATGTTGATAATCTATAGTTCTTTAATTATTATATCTTTGTTATTGCTCATATTTAAAAAATTGCATCCTTGTTAAAATGGAAGAAATAATAATTTGTTATAATTGTTTCTTTCTGTGTTAAACATTACTTATGTATGTATGATCCACCTTTTAGAGGTAGTACATATAAACAATATTTTTTAACTTTATTGAAGTTGATAATTAAAGAAATATTTGATTTTAATGTTTAACTTGATTTTCTATAAATATTTTTTTAGATTTCTTGCAACCGTACGCAGTTTTAAATTAATCTTTTAAGATATATTAATAACACACATGTGAAAATGTCTTTAGATATTATTATTATGCTTAAAGATGATATTAAAGTTACGTCAGTCAATCAATGCATACAAGAAAGTCTAATTTTTTAGTCTAGTGCGACTTCAGACGTAACATTATAATGAAATAGTTTACATAATAAATGAAAATTTCTGCATTAGAAAAAAAAGCACTTTATTACTTTACAGAAACTTGTATTTTTTGCTAAATATATTTTTTATATAATTATTATATTTTTCATTTGTAATATTTTAATTATATAATAATTATATGACTATTATATAATAATTATATTTAGCAAAAAATACAAGTTTCTGTAAAGTACTCATTTCATGTATTTTTGATGTTTTCGCTTTTTTTTCTTTGTAAGGCTGATCTGCGCCAAAAACAATTTTTATTGGCCCAAATAGTGTTAAATCTATTCCAATAGTGTTGCCCAAGTATTATAGAAATTTTTTACATATTTTACAATCCTTTTTAAGAACTTCGGATAACCTGCATAAGAAATTGCTAAACAAACTTTAACTTAATCTCTCTTAATCCACGACATTTATATTTCACTTTGTCTTTCAAAGTAAGGCCACGCAAAGTTAATTTTTCGTTTTGCATAACCTGGTGTTTCAAAATTCCGGTCGGCGGGTCGGATTTTTT